TAATTTTAGATGAACTTGTGATCATATGAAGTATTCTAGAAAATAGGTCACATTAATTTTTTTTTTTTCATTTCTGCTATGAAGGCCTAGGCATGCCTAGGCTACGCTTAATCGGACTAGGCGCAAGTCAGGAGCCGAACGCTCGCCTTACGCCTAGCGCCTTTTTGAACCTTGCTCATTTTTACTAAAATTAAAAAATATATTACATTTTGATGAACAATTTAAACAAATACACATAAATATATTACTTTTTGAGTAGAAATTTGACCAAGCAATACTAGTTATTTCTTAAAAAAAACTTATTCATTCTTATTAAGTGAAAACATAGGAATCATAGGTGAAATAATTTATAATGTATCATAAGTTCACATTACTAATATTTGCTATAGATCATGTTGATTAAGCAAACTCTATTGAGGTCTTACGTCATATATATGGATTTTCAGACATGGAGTTATTAATTGTTGAGAATTATAAATCAAAGTTTTCAAAATTACTTAAGTATGATTGTTGCCGAACTTTGACTTTATTTCCTAGGATGAGACACGAGATGCCTTGAAAAATGACACGTGTGAAAGTTAGAGAAATATTTGTTAAGGATATACGTTAAACATTTTGTTATCAACCACTGACCTAGGAATTAATCAAATAAAGGTTAGAATTTTTCTTTTAATATTTGAATGTCTCGGTAGACGAATTCAAATTCGACAATTGAAGCAATAAATAAACATTAGTGTGTTATTTGAGATATCTAGACCAAAAACCTTTATAGTTACAAGAGTCTAAACTGATATATTCGGTTAAGAATTTTATTAAGGATGAGTTCAGTAAGACAATTGTGAGAAGTCACTGGCTATATGGATGTGTGCGTGTGATTCCACACCAATTTTTTGTTGTAACAAAAAATTTCCTATATCGAAGTCTCAAAATAAAAATATTTTAGTTTATAAGAGTAAGGAATTTTTATTTACATCGAGTTACCCTAGCCAAAAAAAACTTTGTTTTCATATTCCACCCAATGAGCCGACTTCAATGATATCATTAGGGTTGAAAGTATAATAAACTCTTTATTAACAATAAAATGCCTATAATACATCCAAGAATTCAAATGCATGTGAAATGTCACAATGTTTCTATGATCAAACACCAAAGATAAAAAAAAATATAGCGAATGCACATTGAAACATTTAGAAAGTTATATACTGGAGGACCATGTTAAGATGAGAATCATCCATAATTTATGTGAATGTATTGGATTGAGATTCTAAACCAACATCTAGACAACAACCGTGGGTTGAGGGTTAGTCCAAACTTAAAAATTGAGCAATTGATATGTACTGTGTAAGATACTAAATTTGAGTGTCTTGATAGACAAATTTTGGCTTAAGATCCTATATCGAGACTTCATAAACGTCCAAAATGAAAATGAGCGAGGATTAGAGAATTTGATCATAATAAGGGTATGATATGTGTCAAGTTCCAATTGGAATTTATTGAATTTATCCAGTAATCAAATATCTTTATCCAATTATTTGAACTCTCATCAATTAGTTGAGAGTTCATCAAAACTCGAGAATTACTAATTATTATATGTTGTATAAAATAATAAATTTGAGTGTCTGGAATGAAACATCTTGATATTCGACCCTAAATGAGACGTGATAAACCTTCACAACATGATTTATGATTAGAGAATAAAAATATCATAAGCGAGTGTGCTAACTATTAAGTATTAAGATTCACAAAACTTTAAACATATAGATAAATTAATCAATATAAATAATAAAATGAAATTCTCCGGCCAATGGACCGGGTAAAAAACTAGTCTTTTCCTACGAGAATTCATTTTTTCCCTTATAAGAAACAATAATTAAATACTATGCAAGAACTAACACATCTCCCAATCCAACTAGAACAACTACTAATAATAATAATGAATACTAATATCCCATATTAATAACAAAATACCAACTAATGACTAAAAATAGATAAGCCCGAGATTACTGGAAGTGTCCCGCTAGCTCGTCTCATAACAGCTCATCGGGCGTTATCGTAGCAAATCTGCCCATGACGAACTCGAGATAAATGCGGACCATCTAAGTTTCATCTTCAAGGGTTGTTGATGTAAAGACCACAGTTGGAGGCACCTTGTGGGTTCCAAGCTCCTACTAATGATCATGTGGTGCTGCAAAAGAAGGAGCATGGAATTGCTGAGGCATTGAGTGGAAACTGGGGTAAAGGAAGTGGAGGTTTGGTGGCCATAGGGACTAGGCGTGGCGAGTATGACGAAATTCGTAAGACTTTTCGATGACATGCGCCCGTGGAGGAGTGGGTTTGCTGGAATCCAGTTCTAGATGTCATTGACGTAATATGGGTTGCGATGAACAATAGCAGGGGGGCTTGTTCAATTACTAGCATCATGATTATTGGATGCATAAACAATGTTCATTCCTTCCAATTATGGGTGTCCAGTATAAAGGATGCGCCTCAGGGTTGCTTAGATTTTGGGAAGATGGCGGAAAGGATCACTGCATGCTGGGATTTGGTGTTCTTTGGCTGCACATGGACGGGGAAAGGTGATTTCACGAACACCAATGAAAAACAGAAGGTAAGTGGAAGAGGAGGAAGCGCAAGCAACAACTGAAACATTATCAAGGAGAACTGAAGTGCAAAGCTGAAGTTGACTGCAAGCTTGAGGACAAGGTCGCTTTTAAGTGGGGTAGATTGTTAGAAACTCTGTCTTTGGAGGACCTAGATAATATATTAGCAGTATTATTCTATTTTTTTTTATTGATTTTAGTAGTCGTTTAGACATATTAGGGTTAATCATTAGACATATTCTACTTTTCATAACTTTCATGGTCTTCCATTGCAATAGGTTCCATGATTGTTTGTGTGTTCATATTAGGGGTGTCAGTTCGGTTGCCGGTTAGCGGCTAACCGGTAACCGAAAACCGTCCAGTCACTTGTCACAGTCGGTTGTCGGAAGGAGTGAGTGGTGCTTCGGTTACCACCCTAAAACTATGCAGCTTTGCTTACCACCCAAAACTAAACACAACCCTAATAATCCCTTTGCCCACGTCTCCCCCCTCGACCAAAATCCATCTCTCTTCTCTCCCGCACCGCCATATCCACTAGAGAAGAGAAACCTCCCCCGACCCCTCGCCAGCCTCCGCATCTCTCCCCCGACCCTCGCCGGCCTCCGCCTTTGCTCGCCCTCTCCCCCGATGTTCACCATCACTGAAAACGACCCCCTCCTTCGGCCAAACCCCAACCTTAATTCTTTCTTCTTCGTCCTCCTCCAAAGCCCAGGTCATCGCCATCTCCCATCCCCGACGACCCCAGGCCTCCGCGCGTCTCCCATCGCCATCCCCGCCTTCCTCCGTCGAGCCAACAGACTAAGCAGAGACAGTCAGGCAGCACCCATGCCTAGGGGTGGGATTCGGTCGGTAAACGGTAAATTGTTTACCGAATTTACCGGTTTTGGTATACCGAAATTGGTCAAATTGGTTACCAATTACCGATACCGGTTTGTAACCGGTTTACCGATTACCGAATTACCGGTAAACGGTTACAAACCGGTATTACCGAAATACCGTGAGAAGCGATTTCGGGCGATTTTTCGATCGGTTTACCGAATATTTACCGAACCGAATTTCTGGAAGTGGGGTGATGTTGTAATATTTTGATTTTTTTGAGTTTTTTTCATCATTTTTGTAATTAATAATTTATTATTAACTCTTATTTACAATATTTTTGTGGCCTATACTTACTTATGAATTATGTAATATTTTATATTTGTGAATAATGATGTATATGTTATATGTTAGTGGAGTAGGGAAGGGGGATTTCGGTATCGGGATTACCGATTTACCGTCGGTATTTACCGATACCGTGTCCGGTAAACCGACTCCCCCAACTTCCCGCTCGGCTGCCGATACCGCCGGTAAACGGTAAACCGTTTACCGGATTACCGTTTACCACTCCTACCCATGCCCCCCCCTACCGTTTACCGGATTACCGTTTACCACTCCTACCCATGCCCCCCCACCCCCCCCCCCCCCACACCACCTGCCCCTCTGTAGATCTGTCCATCCACTGCCTCTTCGTCCGTCTCTGCAGATCTATCCATCCATGGAGAAAGGAAGGAGAAGTGGTCTAGTGGGAGTGAAATGGAGGAAGGAAAGAGGTAAGGATTGAGTGATGGGAATTTTTTTTTTTTAAATAATTTTTAATGAATTTTTTGAAGAGAAAGGAGGGTTTTTCGAGTATGCGGCTAACTGAACCAAAATCGATAACCAACCGGTCGGTAATCGACTAGCCATGATGCCCCTCACGGTCAGTAGTCGGCAGCAGGAAGTAGTGGCTCGGTTTAACCGATAACCGATTTTTGGTTAACTACCATCCCTAGTTCATATCATGGCAATTCATTAATATTAAGATTTGACTTGAACATTTTGTATGATATATCTATATAAGGGTAAATGACACATTTGGTCACTGAGATTACTAAATCGTGTCATATTTAGTCACTAGAAAAAATTAATATCAATTTTGGTCACTCAAATTACTGAAACAGGTCACATTTGGTGACTCTTCTGTAGCCTCTGTCCAACTCCGGTCACTCGAATTATTGAAAAATGTTACATTTAGTCACTCGGATTACTGAAACATGTCACATTTAGTCACTCTCCCAAAAGTTTCCGTCCAACTACATTAATGGAGTTGGACGGAAACTGACGGGAGAGTGACTAAATTTGACCAGTTTCGGTAATTCGAGTGACCAAAATTGATATTAATTTTTTCTAGTGACTAAACATGACACAATTTAATAATCTTAGTGACCAAATGTGTCATTTACCCATCTATATAAACTTCTAATTTACGAGTTTACTTTCGTTCATGAAATTATGAAAAAATTTATATATATATGCACATTTAAATCTCTTTCAACAATTCAAACCATTAGATTGAACTAATTTTTTTAAACAAAAACTGCTCTTCTTTTTTAAATTATCCAGTCTTTAGATTATTCGATTAATATACAAATTCAAATTAAATAGCAAATGTCGACAATCATCCAGCTACGAAGTGCGGGTCAAAAATCTAGTTATTATTAAAATGGTAGATGGAGCCATGTGATTGTGCCCCCTACTACCGAAAGGAATATCCTAAGAGTATATGCAAAATGCCCACCACATCTCCCAGCAAGAGGAAAATGAACATTTTCCAGATCAGCTGTCGCTCCAATTGACCCAAGAATGGTATCTGTATCTCCTACAAAGAATAGAGCTCATTTCTGCCTTTGTTGCTTCCAAATGCAAGCAAAGCCCATCTTATCTGGAGAAGAGAAGATATATTTGCTTTCCTTCCCCTCACCATATCTTTTGATCAGCTTGGGCTTTCTTTCAAGTCTTGGTTTCTCTTTTGATAAGACGCAGCTACCTCACAAGTCATATGTACAATCTTTTCAGCTACAGGATTTGAGCCAAAGGAGGCCAAGCTTTCCTGTGGAGAATGGCATCTACGTGGTGAACCGACGTGGCACTCGAGGCGTTGGCACGACGACATCCCTGCCAGATTTGATCAAGCTCTGACGGTCTTTGATTGTTTTATCAAACAATCTGTTGTCAGGATTCTCTGCGTAGCACACATAGTAACAACTCACACAGGCATGAGGCAATGCCATGGCAATCCTTGTCTGCAAAAGAATAAAGAAAGCACCCAACAGGATCCCAATCAAGCAACTAATCAAAAGGAGATTCCCCCACCAGGATAAAACAAGAAAAAGATGGCAGCAACTTGACCACGTGATCGATATTGGTGTGCAAGTAAATAAAGTGTACCATGAGATAGCCAATAAAGAATGCCAAGAGGGAGATAGTTGCTGTAAAGGGCTGATGGACTTTGAAGGTCCAGGCCGCCACCATGATGACACAGATTGAGCCGCTGCATACTCCAGTTAGGAAGCAGATGGAGCTTGTTATGTCTGAATCCACAATCTCCTCCATTTCTTGGCTCTTGAACAGTGACCATGTGTCCTTTGATGCCTTCACAAACCCTTTCCCGTATGCAGCTATCTGCACAGCATATCACAAATTAGCTCTCCTTTACTTATTTATTTCAGCAGCATCAGCATCAGCACCGCATCATTGCTTCTGTGATCGATTAATCACCACTACCATCTTCTTTAATAATTGAATACTATAATATGTTAATACACGCAACAGCTAATCAACCAATCAGTGATGGTGCTAGGAGAATATAATTGAAGCGCAAAGACATTAGAATATCTTTGTTAGTTGACAAGGCTATATAAGGAAGGTGAGTGAGAATGGTCAAAAGGTGAGGCTGAGGACCGTTGCTTAGGGATTACTCCACAAGCAACTTGAAAATAACAATCCATCATTTTCAGATGCTTCATAACCAACGACGGAGCTCCTTCTCTTTATTTATTCGGTTATAAGAGAGTGGTGTTACCTGAACAAAGGCCCAGCCATTTCCACAGCTGAAGATGAACTGCATGACATTGAGGCAACAGTGAGCACACGAGAACATGAACTCATCCTCTCCCTCTAGCAAATTCAAACCGCGTGCAACGATTCTGAGAGCCTCGATTGCTGGAACGAATAGAGACCCAAGACAAGCGCTACCGAGGTTCTTAGTCAAGGCTCTTTGGAAGCAGAACTTGGTGCTGGATTGCATCCCTCTCAAGTAATACAGAGAAATCACCCTACTTACAGTCAGATTAACCACATTCCTCTGCACTTCAGCAGTCCAGGCCAAGCTCAGCACCAAGGCTATAATGGTCAGAGGTGGGAAGTAGAAATTCAAGGCTCCAAGCACTGCTATGATCCACAGAGACATCCACAAGAACCCCACACCAAGCATCCAATAAGTGGGTTGATTCAAGTCGGGAAACTTGGAAACCGGTTCCAGCGATTTGACCAACACCTTTGTGCAGAAACCTATTCTTTGAGTAACCCAGCACGCATACAAGCCATTACCAATTGCAAAACCCATGAGGCAAACCCCAACCCCGTCTGTGGAAGCCTTCTGGAAGCAGATTAAGAGAATCCCAGCAGATAACGACGTCAAGAAAGAACACCACATTATGAAATGAACCATGAAGTTAGGCCACACCCTGAAAGCCTTTTGCCATGCGAATGCAAGAGTGATGCTCAACAGAGACGCCGCTTCCACCTGTGGCAGGAAAAACTTCAAGACCCTCATTTCCTTCCTTTTCACTCTATCCGATGCTTGAATTAGTCCTTGAACCCCCTTGAATACCAGAAACCCCACTAGCCCAATCGCCAGAACGAAATGCAGGCAAAACAGAAACAGTGACATCTTGTTGGTGTACTTTCTTGAGTTCAGCGTTATTAGTGATTGCTGTTGAACACAAACAGGTGAAAGTTCCCAAAAAAAGAAACCAAGTTTCCAGGATTAGTAAGTGCAAAACTCTGCTAAGAGAGAACTAAAGGCGAACAGAGATAGAAACCCAAAACACTAAATTACTTGCAATATATAGGTTAGGTTCTTTCGAACTTTCTGAAAACAAACGTAACTCCAGGAATTTAAAGCTCTTTCATTGACGGACACTGGCGTAACGAAACTCAATAGAAACAACCAAACTTTTCCCCCAACTTCAAACGCAACCCAGAAAGAGAACTTTTAATCCAAAGCAACAGGCAGTAAAGCACAAATGAATCAGCAGAAATCAAGAACAAAAAGGCACATACTTGTGGGGTTGGAGTGGATCGAGGCTGGAGCGGTGGCTGCGCAGGGGAAGGAGTAGCTGCTCTGCTGGGAACTTGACTGATGACATGAATCCTCAAAGGATTCGTCGGATTCAACCTCTGCATCATTGACATATGAAACTCTCTCCCGTGCTCTCCTCCGTCTCCGTCTCCATCTCCATCTCCCCCTCCGCCATCCACTGCTTCTCCTTTCTCCACATCTCTCTCGCCCATCCCCCCTCCTTCCCTTCCTTGTTCTTCTCCTTCGTTTCTCTCTTCTCTGTCCCTCTCAACCTCCTGAAAATCACACAGTCGTCAACTCTGTCAACTTGGACACGAAATTCGTGAAAGGAAAAATGAAAACAATCTCAACAGGCTTTTCATTTGCTGAACTTTGATGTATCCACTTGTCATCAAACTATGCTTTCTCTTACATGGTCCGTGGCGCCCATTTCTCCGGCGGAGGTTCCAGCTGACGTCGAATCAATCCTCCGGCGACGGCTAGAGTCTCCGCTGGCTGGCGGCTGCTGATGGTGGACTGATGTCTGAAAAAATTGATGTTAGATTTTTGGGTTTTGCTGCTGGCGTTTCTCCTTTTTCTTCTTTGTATTCAAGTTAGGTGGTGGTGTCATTTGGTAGGCGCTTTTAAGCCTTTTTTTTTTTTTGTTGTTGTAATTTTGTGCGTGTTTATTTCTGTTTTCTTTAGCGAACCTAACCTCTATATATATATATAAATTGTATACAATATCGTTACGTACTGGAATATTCAGGACCCCAGCCGCGGGACCGAGAGTGAACGACACGTACTAATGAGAGCTAGGTGTAATGTGGACGTGTCGGATAAGGACAGCAGACGCTGCTGGATAAGGATTGGACTCTGTGCTCTGAGGTGCACCACTTCTCTCGTGTAATCGCCGTGACGGTGAACAACGGCTCCGAGTTTCTTTGTTGGATGATGTGATGCTAAAGATTGTTCAGTTTGTAATGTTAGCGGGCATAGATAGCAAGCAAAATTATATGAAAAAGGGATACGAGCTAACTACAATCGATGAGTGAGAAGTAAGGTTGGAAGTATGATATCGACGTTTGGGATAATCGAATACGGTACCTAACTTGTTAATATTTGGTATTACTTAATATACGTATTATTTTATGGTATTGAAATTGAGAGTCAATTTTGAGTGTAATTTGGTATTAAGAATTACGAGATTGGAATCAGTACTATATCGAATTACCGAAAATACCAAAATATAAACTAGTGTCCATTTTCACCGCTTTATTCAGGCTACCTCACTCACTTTTACGGGCCCTCAACCATTAAAATGTGGAATTAGTTGTTCAACCCATTACCTAATTCCTTTCCTAGGGTTGACAATCGGTTCTCGGTATCCGGTTGAACCGATAACCGACAGTTACCGGTATAGTGTTAACCAACTTGTTTTGGTTGTCGGCGGCCACAAAAATGCCTCGGTATACTGGACCCCCTGTCGGTAAATACCGACGGTTATCCGTTAAACTAGATATCGGGAAGGAAGGGAAACGCACGGAAGAAGGAGCCTTCAAACTAGGCGTTTGAAGGAGAAACCATAATCGAGTTTCCCCCTTCACCCAGTCACCCCCATTCTAATTCGATCGACCAACCTTCCTTCACCCAGTTCGCATCGCAGCTTCCCTCTTACCTGTCAAGTTTCCCCCTTCCCTATCCGCCGCCGCCTTCCCTCTCTCACTCTGCCTCCCCTCTCCGCCGCTCGACAAGAAGTATCGACCAGAGGAGAGGAGGACAGCGACGATTCCTTGGTCGACAAAGCTCTAGAAGGGCCGAAGAAGCGTGTCTCCCTCATCCCCGGTCAGCGGCGATGAACTTCTCTTCCCTCAGTCATCTTCGTTGCCGTCAAGCTCCAGTCCAGATGGCCTGCCCGATTTGTAAACCTGAATCCCCTGCCTCTGATCCTCTCCTCCTCATCTCTAACTTGCTTATCTATCTCTGACCTATCTTTGCTTTGCTTTGTGGAAGAGAACAGAGCAGGAGCACCCATCAGTGAATCAAGCAGCAGTGTAACATTCCGTTTCGGCAAAGCTCATATTTCGATCGCTAGAAAGTTTGTGATTTAAAATCGAGCATTTTGATAGTATTTCGACGAAAATCGGATTATCGATCGATCGAATAAGTATACGTATTAATTATATATATAATATATTATATATAATTACATTAAGCGGCCGGGCCGCATATATATATTTATTCCCCTTGTCCATTATCTCCACCATCATCTTCCATTATTCGGACCGAGAGAAAACAGACCGAGCAGAGGCCCACAGGGCATCACAGGGTAAAATCTCATAGCTCAATTCTTGAGCATAAGTGATCCAAAAATCCCATAAGTAATGCCTAATTCATCTATACATCGTGATTTATCGATTTAGAGTTTTAAAACGAGTTTTTGGTTCAGGAATTTCTTGAATTCCCGATAAGCCAAACTAGTGTTTCGGAGTATCCGGAAGCCGGATTGAGCCCAAATTTCATATATGAACTTCCTGCAGCGAGGTAATCAATCCTCTAGTTCTAATCCCTGAATTTCGGCAATTATTTAGGTCGGGGTCCAAATCGTTGTATTTAGCTCCGACCAGGGTTTGATGTGTTTTTATCGAGAACTTGACCCGGAGCCTAGAACTAATATTGACGGGGATACTGCAGGGGATATTAGGACGGTCTCGGATTTTAATTCGGGGTTTGTTCGTAAAATTGACGTTTTAGTACGGGAGGCTAGAACCTGTGTTTGAACAACCAGAACTGATGAGGGATTAGCACGGCATACCGGGTTTGTCGTATCACGATAATTATATTGATGCTTAGAATTGACCTAGGTGAACTAGAATGGCATGATTAGGGGTGTATGGACTTTTGTGCTATATGATGAATCCTGGACTGCTATATGATATTATTGACTTGCCCTAATCGATATGGACCTAGCTTATGCTGATGATTGTGTATATGTTGCAAATTGTGGGCTTGAATGTTGATATGCCTTATGATGGTTTGAGAAGGTAATTAAGTATGATTTTTCATGATTGTTGTATTTGGATGCACAAGTGGGAAATAAACTTCCCTGGTGATATTATGATGTTTAAGGAGGATGACTTGCACGAGGGTTTATCCCGAGAAAGTGCAATTATACGACTCCTGATTTACCTATGTTGAGCCAATTATGGTCAGGTCAAGTATATGTGCAAGTGATGAATTATGATTAAGCAAGATGAGATATGAATCATGTATAAGGATACCAAATATGAGTGTTGTGGTCTCACGGTCAACTACATAGTAATTAGGGCTCCCTATGCTATTACTCTATTATGATATGTATGATAGTCACACCTCTCATGTGGGGGTGACTGAAGAATTCTTACGAGATATGACCACACTCAGAGCGGTGTCGTGGTATGACTACACTCATAGTGGTGTGGGGCATGTATGACCACATCCGACGGGATGTTGGGGTATGTATGACTACATCCGAGGGATGTGGGGTATGTTTCCCGGGAGAGTTATTAGCATGGGAGTAGCCAGGCGCCTATAAGTAAAACATGATAAGACGCATATGCATAAGTCAAGGTGGTTGAGTCTTTTGCCCATTGGGATATGAGGATGGCTGAGGTCCGACCCTAGTGTTTTGGCTTGATTGTTAGATGGATGGTAGGGGTATGCTCTGTTATGAACTCACGATGTTATGATTATATCACTCAGCTATGGCTAGCCCTCTTTATCCTTTTTCTCTGCTTATGCCATGTGTAAGCAAATCATCAGTATCATCAGCAATAGATAGGTGTATAGGTGGGAGCTGAGCAAGAGTTGAAGGCAAGATGAGGTATGGTCTGCACCTATTCTGTGCTTGGACTACTACTCCGGATTTTGGCCAGTGATCCACACCTTTTTGTAAAAATGTTTTGAGAACGTTTTTCATGTGCATACTAGCTTCTGATGTAGTGTGAGATATCCACAGGTGTGGAAATTTGATATGTGTATATTTGTGTAATTGTGTAAGTTGTGACGATTATGGTATGTATCAGTATGGTAAGCAGTTGGGGAGTATGAAAACTGTGACTATGGCTTTGAAAAGCCAATGCATATGGTTGTGAGTATATATATTTGTCTATGAATGTATGGATTCAGATGAATTATTTTGCAGGTTTTATATAGTTACAAGAACTGTTAGCCCATTACGCGAGTAATTCATGTCGATTTTTTTTTTTGGTAAATTTTGATAATTAATGTAACACGCGAGATTATTTCCGCTGCAATCGTATGAACAATATGATTAGGTAATACGTATAGGGTAGGGTGTTACAAGCAGAGTTTGGAAGTTCCAGCAAAGCAGTCGTCCAACATCCTTAGAAAAAAAATGTATGAGGAATTGAGAAATTTTAGTGATTCAATTAGATGATTAGTGATTGATTAATTGATTTACTTGTTTGAAACTTGGATATTTCAATTGAATGGGTTAGACGGTCAGTAGTTGTCGAATGAATTTCAGAATTTGATTACAAATGTGAGAGTTCAAGTTTTGATTGAATTGAATGGTTTGGTTGTTAGAAGATTTATTTGTTCATTTTTTGTACTTTTGTAGGACGAAACCTTCTTGTAGTCGTGGAGGAGGAGGTAATAAGAAAGGTGGTTTGTTGCCTCCTCGAAGCTCTTCAAAAAAAGGAAGGCTTCAACTAGTACACCTTCCATTGGTGGTGTTAGCTCAGTTCCAGCAGAAGAGAAAGGAGCAACTTGAGAGGGGGGTCGAGGTTCTAGTGGTGAGTTGGACTCTTATTTGAGAGATGTTGGTGATGCTATTAACGAAGAACTTGATGATCGGAAGTTTGACATTCTTAAGTGGTGGTCTCGGAACTATGTTAGATATCTCATTCTTTTAGAGATGGTTAGGGATATCTTAGCATTTCCAGTCTCCTCTATTTCCTTGGAGTTCGCTTTCAGTTGTGGAGGTCGAGTTCTTAGTCCTTTCAGATCTTCTTTGAACCCAACCATTATAGAAGCCTTGATTTGTGTTAAAGATTGGATAAGGTATGAAAGTGGAAAGACTGCAGATGGACTGGATGATAAGGAAGAAGATCAAGAGACAATTGACTATGAAAGTGGTAATAACTCAATTCATTATTCTAATTTGTCTATACTCTTAACTATTAAACTATTTCATTATTAACATTTGTGTTTTTTCTTTGCACTAGTCACTAATATTTTATAAGCTCGAGTGGAAACTGCAAGTTATATGCCAAAGTGTAACACATAGCTTACCTGTTGGGGTTGATGATGATGATGAGGAGGAGGAGGATGGTGATGATGAAGATTCCAACGACGAGGACATTATCCTATATGGCGATGACGATCCCGATGATACTCTTCTCGGGACTTTGAAGCAACAAGGTTGTGCTAATGTTGGTGGTACAAGTTCTACCACAGATGGAGGAGCATGAGCTAGTGGTTGTACTTGATGAGTTGATGTTTGTGTTAAATTTGGGAAATTCTAAAATCTATTTTAATTTTTTAAGTTTGAACTTATGTTGAATTTAGACATTGTCATTGTGCACTTTAGTCGATTGACAATTATGTTGATTGTTGTCCCTTTGAATTTGATGATGTTTGATGAATGATGAGATATTGAGACAGATGGTTATGTTATCTAATTTGCAATGGTGTTAATTGGTGAGTAAGGACTAATCGGTTTAATGTTTGACAATAGTCATTAACATATTCCATTATTCATATAATCATAGTACATGAATGGAATTATGGAAGTATAAAAATTAAAGATATTGTAAATATGAGTTAAGAATTAAAATATTAATTACATAAGAATGCCAAAAAAATCATATTATCTAAAATTGGACAGCCTGCCCACTACCTAGATTCGGAGTGGTTATTTCTCGATTAACCGAATCGGAAATCTGCTTCTCCTTCTCCTTTGCGGTAAATCGGTATAATCAGTTTGTAATCGTGAACCGGCTATCCGGTTTACCAGTTATATACCGGTACCGATATTCGGACTCTGTCTTGCCATAAACAGTATATCGAAAACAGATCAGTCGGTAACTAGTTAAACCACTAACCAACCGATTACCACCCTATCCTTTCCTCCTTTATAATTTGAGAACGCAAACTAAGTCCATCACTTCCTTTTGCAGGTAGTTATACTCGGCCCATAACCAAAAAATCCTAGCGTAGTCCTCTTCAATTCGTCTCACCATGTTTGCTACTTAGTTGCACCATGTTTCTCCTACTTTAGTTCGTCATCATGATTAATATATGGGTTGTATAGTCTCAAAATATTTCCATGATTTTGTTTGTTATTGCAGTTGGATTCATGTAATTGAGATTCTCAAAACCACTTTAGTACTGGCGGCCTTTTAGGTGGGTTGTGATTTGAATGAGGCATGGGAAGGGTTGAAGGGATAGTTTGTCTTAATTAATTGTTAAGTTTTATATTTTTAATATTTTTTTTTGGTAAACAAACGAGCGCTAGGAGCGCTCAACCCTTACACATTCACAAGGCGGGGGATAGCAACCCCCATTCGGTCGTAGAGGAGCCAGTGGAGCAGGTTCGGATTGTTTCCCGGAAAGGAATGAATTCCGATCGGGTAGTCATGGCCTTGCGAAGCGAGGAAATCAGCAGTGAAGTTCCCTTCGCGAAAAGTGTGAGTGATGGTCACCTCCCAATCCCTCTGTATCAGCTGCCTTGCCGTCATAATCATCATCCGGTGCGGGTGAGTCTCCGTCGCCGATTGGATGAGCTGGATGGCTGTTCGGGAGTCAGATTGAACTTCAACTCGTCTAGCTCCAGCATCCCATGCCATCTGCAACCCAAAAACAATTCCTGCTAGCTCCGCATGTGTTATAGAGCCACCTCCCAAGTTTGCTACAAAGGCTCGGATCAGCCTTCCGCCTTCATCTCGTAAGCATCCCCCCGCCGCTGCACTCACCGGCGCAATAGAGACTGACCCATCAATGTTCAAGCAGGTCCATCCCGGTGGCGGCGGTTTCCAATGGATAGGTAAGCTTTGCTTCATGCGATCACCGCCCATGACTGCGCTCTCCCTATCAAAAGCCCAGCGCACTTGTTGTGCATAAATCTTCACAGACGCTATCATCTCTTCCATCGTAGCTAGCTTCTTCTCGAACACTTTACTGTTCCTGTTCTTCCATAACTTCCAACACAAAACAGCAAACAGAGTTGCATCTATACACCCACTTCGGCCTGTTACGTAGTGATGAATCCACTTCGACAGGTTGCTCTGGAAGAACATCTCATCTGGTTCCTCGGCTAGAAAATGCGACCAGACTCCTCTTGCAAAGGGGCAATCACGGATGACGTGCAGTGTAGTCTCTGGCCCGTCTCCGCATATCGGACAGTCGGCATTGGGCGCCAGGTGTCTCCTCGACCTTTCAGCATTAGTTAATAGGCGTTGATGCGCTGCTAGCCATAGGAATGTGCGGGTACGTTGTGGTGATGGGGTTCTCCATATCGCCTTCCAACAAGGTTCTGGCTGGGGCTGGACCACCCCATCTGCTTGGGTCAACTCATATGCAGTCTTGAGAGTAAATTTTCCGGAGTGAGTGAAACGCCACAACGGAATGTCCTCCTCACTTCCTTGCGGAACTGGATGGAGGCGGACCTGCATAACTAGACTTTCCGGGAGAACAGCCTGCAAAAAGGCATAATTCCAGTCCCCATTCAGCACCATTTCAGAAACCGTGAGGCGGCGAGCTTCCTCTGGGAGATTATTCGCAAACGCAAAGAGTGTCGGCCCATCTTGCAACCACCTGTCTTCCCAAAATAAGGTCTGCTGCCCTCCTTTGTTTATCCCCTTTTTGCATACAACTTTGGTGTATTGTGGTGGAAAAAAAATTACAAAAAAATTAATGTGGTATATACCGATACCGAACCAAAATATTAGGGATTGAGATTGAGATACCGCAATTATTTTGGGATTGGAATTGTGATTAATTTTATGACGTAATTCGGTAGTACGTATTTTCATATTCGGTATGGGAATACCGATACCGTACCGATTTCCACCTCTTGTCAAAAGGACGTCAAGCAATTAATATTATACTTCTAGGACCAGCATTTCTTGTCTAAGCTTGAATGAGCCTCGCGAAAGTTTGATGCGGATAAACACAATTTCGTTCTCCGCCTTCGAGCGTTGTGTTTGCCACGCACTGTCCTCATTCATTTTTTTTTTCTCGTAGAGGTTGTAAGTACAAAAGAATTTAGGGACTTATTCCTTTGCTTTCGTCTTAGCGCACTTTCACGATGGGTTCTCAAGAGAGCCATTGTACTCATGTCTCGGAGTGCTACACTGTTTATTTTATGGAAGTTTTTCTCGGTGAAGTTTGTCTCCTTTATGGGTCTTTCTTATTTCGATCGAGTCATTTTGTTCTTCGGAACTTTCTCAGAGTTGCCCGTATAGTGGCTTAAAATGCTCTTCCATCGGCAGTCCAGTTGCATACGAACTACTGCATGTGGTTTTACTGGTATGTTTGAGTTGCTCGACCATGTCATCTGGACTTATCTTTTTTTTTATTGATAATGGTGATAATAAATTGAAAGGAAAAAAGAACTGAAACATAGAAGGTCCTGGTTCACAAGCGCTGAACCCAGTGTCCAAAAAACAAAAGGAGCAGACAACAGGGGAAACGAGAACAAACCCCAGACAGCAAGAAACAAAAGGAAAACAAACGCAAAGGACCAGGCCACTGCCGCAGCAGCGGACAACCTAACCTGTTCAGAAAAACAAAAGAAAACCCAGTAGAGGCCAAATAAACACAACACACTGAACATAATGAGAAAACCCGCCCAGACCAGACAACAAAACCGAACCACCCGCCTGATCACCCCCTTAGCACCCTGCCGCCAAACAAAGAAAGGTAGACCAGAACAAAATCGATCCCTCGGCAATTAAGTAGCCAGCAAGGTATCTTTCAACCAGTTCTCACCCTCCCATTTCTCCACTTTTCCATGCGCAACCAACCATTCCATAGAGTGTCTTGCAGCTTTCTTAGCCACCACGGAAGTGCACACCGCCTTCTCTTCATATATCCGTTGGTTCCCCTCGATCCAAACTCCCCACCAAACCGCGTGTAGGATGCAACTCACGAACCAACCGTCGACGTTCACAGGCTCGGACAATGTAACACTTTTGACCACCGAGCTTAGATCGCTCCCTCTAAATCCCAGCTCCGCTCTATTCCTGCTGAGGAACCTCCAGACATCTTTAGTGAAGTTGCACTCAACCAAAATGTGAAACGCAGATTCACTCTCTTGACAGCATAGGGTGCATCTACTCGCCAACGACCATCCGCGCTTCATTAAGTTGTCCATAGTGAGAATCCTGTTATGACAAGCAAGCCACATAAAGAAACACACTTTCCCGGGAATCACAGGCCTCCAAATCTGTTTGACTGGGAAATCTTGAATGCCGACGAACAGGTCTTTAGACACCTGCTTATAACAAGATCTCACAGAAAACCTGCAGTTGTTATCTGGATTCCAAATAATCCTACACGGACTAGAATTAAGCTTAAAAACCTCACAACTTTGAAGAAAATTTAACAATTGAACTCTCTCCCTCTCAGCCCCCCCCTCTCAAAGAATTTAAGGGTAAAAGACCATCTCACCGTCCCATCCTCGAGCGAGGCCACGTCGGATAGACAGGCATTGGGGTCAACAGCAGCGGCGGCGACGCGAGGAAAGGCTGTAGCCAACACCATCCCAGGAACCCATACATCATACCAGAAGGAAATAGAGGTGCCGTTACCCGGATCCATGGATGCAAACTTCCAGAAAAAATCGTAGGCCTTCGAAATATTAGCCCACACAGAATGGGAGAAACCAACACGAGCCCGATCAGTCTGCCAAACCGAACGGGGATTTGGGTATTTAATCTCAATCAAATTCCTCCACCAGCTACTTCTTTCCACCGCGAATCTCCACAGCCATTTAGCAAGGAAAGCATCATTGAAGCTCTTGAGATCATGGAAGCCCAACCCACCTGCTTTTATCTCGGCTTTACACGTTTTCCAATCCACAAGAGCCATCCTTTTAGAATCACCAGCCCCATTCCACAAAAATCGCTTCTGAATTTTTTCCAGATCATTAATAACTGAGGCCGGTGCTTTGAACAGCGAAAATAAATAAGTAGGCATGCTCGCAAGAACAGCCTTGCATAGAACCAATTTCGCCCCATAAGAGAGATGCCTGCTCCTCCATCCATTAAGTTTATCCTGGCATTTAACCATCACCTGGTCCCACATCGCAGCTTTGTTTGGTTTACCACCTAGAGGGAACCCCAGATATCTAGGAGGTTCATTGCTCCACTTACACCCGAAAATGGATGCAAAGAAGCTAGGTTCAGGCACATCACCAACAGTATACATCACAGACTTGTCGAGGTCAATTCTGAGACCCGTTACCGATTGGAAGCATACTATAGTAGCAAGAACATGCAATACCTGATCATACTGAGCGTCGCAAAAAATGAGCGTATCATCAGCAAACAACAAATGGGTCACCTCTCCAGACTTTCTAGCTTCATCCATACAGAAACCTTCAAATTTACCTGCATCTCTAACCGACTTAAGCATCCAAGATAGAACATCCATAATGAGAACAAACAACCCGGGAGAAAGGGGATCCCCTTGCCGCAATCCCTTCGAAGCTTTGAAATAGCCTTTCACCTCCCCATTTACAAGAATGGAAATTAACGAAGAACACATACTGCCTTTCACCCATCTAGACCATTTCTCCGGGAACCCCATAATATTGAGAATTCTGAACAAACATTCCCAATTAACATTGTCGAAGGCCTTTTCTATGTCTAGTTTGAACATGAGGCCAGGCTTTCTGCTTCTACGCCTGCTGTCCACGAGTTCATTCGCAATTAGCCCGGCCTCTGAGATTTGTCTCCCGGCTTTCTGGACTTATCTTGGTTAAGAAAAATTATTCGTTAATTGATTCATGTTTATATACTTTGTTCGTGTCAAATTATTTAATTCATAAATTTTAACTAGTTTGTCTAATATATCTACACATCTACTTATAGTGGACTGGGGAAATTGCAACTCCCAATTTAAATTTTGCAACTCCCATTTTAAATTTTATGTTCCGACAGTGATTTTATGAAGGTTATTTTCGTAAATACATCCAATTTATCTTTATATATTAAAATGTTATTATTTGGATTTGAAAGTAGGTCACTAAAATGAAGACATAAAACTATACTCAACTAGGCTATTGTATATATTGCAATTTATTTTATTGAACTTTAGAAACATAATTGGTTTCATACTTTGACATTTATATTTGACCTGAATTTATTTATATCTTATATAAAGAGAGAAATCGAAACTCAATTAGCAATGACTCAAACATTAATTACTGAATTATATGTGAGGTTTAGTTTACACAAAATATACATGTATAACCAAAACTTGGACATTTGTAACTAATATAGTCATTTTTGTGACAAATACAATGAACTCGCTGACGTGACAATTTATTGTGTTAACTTGCAACTTGTGATTTTCAACACTTTTATTTTAACTGGTACACCGATATATCTTATAAATGGTGATTGATTTTGAAATCGCAACTCAAATATTATTTTGTCAAAAACTATGAAGTTCTAGTCATAATTTAGGGTCTAAAAGAGTAGTTTCTAAGTCTCATCAAATAACGCCACATTTGGACTTTGCTTGCCAAAGCAAACCTCATGACCGTATAGCTCACTAGATCTCTATAATGACATGTGACTTTCGATTGTAGGTGGTGGATCATAAGCAGCTTACAAGGTCAACACTCCCAATTAGAGAACTAGACCACACCCATGAGGTGCATATATCATAAGGACAATTAGGCTTATCTCTACCAATCATAACCTCCTATCTCAACTTGAGAGTCTCACAAATATTTAGGGCGAAGCTCTTTGTAGCTTTATTTAGATGTTTAAGCACATCTCTATCTTTTAACAATTGAGAGTTTTTAGATGTTCTCTCTTTAATATGTAGCATACCGATTTTGAACGTTTTGTACCACAATTGAGTTTATACATAGCCCTTATGAAGCAACAACAATTTATGCGCCTAAGCACTCGCGTACGGGCTTCACTTAACTCCGTTTCCTCGATCCGTGTGGAGATGCAATGCAAACGAGGGTGTTGGAAGCTTTATATGTGACCTCCAAGCAAAATTACAAAATGACACTTCACTCATCGAGGGATTCTATTAGATAAGCAACATTGTACGGTCATGAATCGATGCTCATTTGAACCGTTCATATTCCCTCTGTTCACTGAGGGTCTTGTCTGCTTTAATAGAGATTCAAGGCTAATCAAGGACTTTCCCGTATAATTATCGAGTGAAATAAATTAGAGAATCAACAACCATTAGTATGCCTAGAGACTAGTGGAAATCAATACCAGAGTGACCTTTTAGATAACTGAAACTCGAATCACTTTCTTACTGCTCTCTTAGTTTTTAATTGCTATCACTCGAATCTAATGTCTATATAAAAGATTAATACCTAATAGTTAATAGTAATACCTTTATCCGCTTGCGTGATCGAGCTTTAAATATATAAGTTGATGCACACTCTCTATTCAATCCTAACTAGGCCAAACATAACCTACCTAGGTTAGTAGTAAAGTGGTTCGTTCGTATTCCAATGTATCCCTAAGCTTACTATTACTTCGTCCGAACTACTATATAATCGAACCAAAGGTTTGGGTGAAGAGTCTAATCTAACCTACTCCTAAACAACCAACCAAGTGGTTGGGAGATCGCTAGAGATGAGACAGTTGCCTTGGGTTAGTGATGACAATTTGAACCCTCCCCACTGGTATTACCTGACCTGACCCATGATAGGGCGGGTATTACCCGACCTGGAGTAGCGTGGGACGGGGCATGGGTATGTACTTCTGATCTGTCCTGCCCCGCCCCGCCCCTCCCCGTTCTTGGCAAATTCTATCTCAATTTCTTACAATGTCTACACATATTTATCATATTTTCACTTTTATTCAACTAGTTAGAGTCGACTTTTCAACTTGTTAGACTTAATTACTCATTCTATTATCACTATTTTCTTTTATAAAAGTATTTTCTCCTTCGTTTTATGGTAAAAAGTTAAATTTGCGTTTTATGGTAAAAAGTTTTATGGGCCCAAAGGACGGCCCAGGTACACTCCACACATACTCACACAGAGCCGTTTTGTTTCTCTCTCTCCTATACCGCAGGAACTCTCACAGTCTCACAAGCCCTTTCTCGCTCTCTCATCTCCCACCGCCCCGAAGGTGCTCTTCTCTGGTTCTCTTTCTTCTCCTCCTCCTCTTCTGGTTTCCCCATCGCCGAGCGATTAAAGTTTAGGTACACGATCAATTACTTTCCTCTCTCTTCCTTTCTTTCTCTCTAGTTTGGATGTGAAAGGAATTCCGGATCCTTGTGAATCTGGTGAATTGGCTGGTTAGCGGAATTGCTTGCAGCTGTTGGACTCTGTCTTTGGCGGGGCTTTTGTTCAGTTTAGTCCTTGCAGACGGAACAAACAGCTTTACTAATTGATCTCTAATCCAAAAAAGTTCGAATTCGTTTTTTAGTTAAGAGGGTGGGAAGCTTGTGAAGTGCAACCATGTCGTTTATGAAGGGGGATTTGCTATCGAGAACCAGGAGGCTCGTCAAGGGCATGGCTAAAGCCGAGCCTGTTTGGCTCAAGGCTATGGAGCAGTAAGTCGCTCTCTTACTCGCACTTTGTTCACAGTCTGATGGCTTACTTCCTAGCGTTCAATTTTAGAGAAGGCTACGAGTTAAGTCATGCATATGAAGATTCGCTGTTGGCTTGTTTGCGAAATTCGGAACTTGCCAGTGCTTTAATCATTTGGGTCGTTGAATTCATCTAGGGTAGAGATTCAGAGAGACGGAATGGTCACTGAAAAATAGAAACTTTAGTCATGGAAGTTTTGAATCGAGATGGATTTGTAGTCTTTTAGAATTGGGAACTGGAACTGTGTTTATTCGGTAAATTAAGTTAGAAGTTTTCATCTTAACATTGACATGACTTACTTGATCGCCTATAAGCATAGTAGATTGTGTAGGAGGATGATTACTTCTCTCCTCTTCCTGCTGCTGCATCCACAATAGACTATCTTCTTGTTTCTTTATCTTTTCAGCTAATAAGCTCCAAAATGTTACAGCTGAAAATTGTGTGCATTGCTGTTTTCTATTTGTTGGTAGCCCATCGTACTAAAGTTTTCTACCAAAACCTTTCTTTTGGCCTAATGAAAGTTCTCATTTGATCGGAGCCTCCAGGGCACCTCCTGCAACATTTCCTCTTTCTAATGGAAAGATTCAGAAGATCAATGTCCCTGAAGATCCTTATATAAAGATGTTCTTCCGGAAGCACCAAGCTTTACAACCTGAAGATCCTGTCAAGTTTGTTTTATTCTTTCATGCTCTTTACTCCTCTGGTCAAGTTTGGGCGTCTTATAAGTGTTCTGTGCTTGATTAGTCGATGGAGCCTGGTAATCAGAATATAGGATCCAGTGATTTGTTAGATAAAGAAGCAAAGCAGGATCTTGGAATGGGTCCTAGCAGATTTATCTACATAACGCTGCACGTATAAGCAGCTTGTGGTTGACTTGACATTATGAACAGCTTGTTGGTCAGACTTCTCATTTTAAGCCAAGTTTAGAGCCAATTTGATCGTAGATATGTCTGCATTACGAGCAGCTAGTTTCCAGCTGACGTCTTTATTTGAATATTCGTGGAACAAGCAAACTCAGCAAATTCTTACCATGTCTAGAATGCTTCAGCCTGCGTGGTTACATGGTATCTTGTCTTTTGGTTTTACGTAAATAATTTTTCCTAGTGTTCCTCCAAATAGAATAAATAAATAAAATAAAATAAAATAAACAATCTCCCCGCCAAGTGTGGAGGTATATGCTAGTACTCTTTTATTTCTCTCAGCTGTCTGGTGAACTAATTGTGTTTCACGCCTGATGAGTCAATCACTATGATTTATGCTTGTGCAGGATGTCTACTATAGATCCACCTCCAGCCCGAGTCTTTGCCCAACGGGTGCTCGAGTTGAAGGAACAAGGAGTGGATGGAAAAGCAGCCATTTCTGCAGCTGATGTGCGTTCTCTGTTTCTGAAGCTGGAACTTACACACCACAAGTGTGAAACCTCTTAACCCTAACTTGGATGTCCTTGTGCTAACCACAACTTCATTTCTGTCTCTGCAGGAGGAATATAAAGCAGAGAGAAAAGCAAAGAGGGCGGCATATGCTCGGCTAAAAGAAATTGCCCGTCTTCAGGGCAAAGAGCCTCCAGCTAGACCATATCCAAAATCGAAGAGGGAGACGCTGGCAGAAGAAAGGTGGCATTCTCGTAAACCCAGAATATTTGAGATTGTGAGGAGACTGAAGGATGAAATGACAGCCGACACTAACGAGCGGTTCAACAGAGGCTACTGATGAGCAGTATGAGATCACATTTATTATAATAGTCTCAAGCTTGGGAGAAGAATGTGATGCGATAATCATTATTGCTTGAGATTGAAGGGAACTGAGATGTGCATTTTCATTCTAGGGAAATTAGGCAGAACCAAGAAGATTACCAAATTAGTTCTTCGTACTTGCACTGATGTTTGTTTTCCTACCCTCACTCTTACAATTTGGCGTACCAGGTCCTAGATTTCATGATATTCAAGGCCGGCCTGCCTGTCTGTCTTTCATCTTTTTCCTTGGGCCATTTGCCAAGTCACAGAAACGGATGCATTAACATACCTTACGTCCCATCATACAGACCGTCAGTTTATTTGCTTAACCGAAAGGATCCAAGTAAGACCATTGCCAACCTGGGGGCACGATCCGACCGCTGAACGCGCGCCAGTAGAGCGATCCGCGCCACGGATCGGGGAACGCGTCTCCGAGGTGCGGTCAACGCTCGGGAAACGCAAACCTCCTCGGCAAGGTGCGGTTTCCCTGAGGGTAAAATTACCCGACCGCCCCTGGAGGGTGCGGTCTGATGGGTATAAATACCCCTCCTTCCCCTCTCATTTCTTCACACCACAACCTATTCTTCCTTCTCTCTCTACAATTTATCCCTCTAAACCCTCCCCTCCCAAAAGCCTAGGAAATAGTGGTCTGTTGGTTGCGGCTAAGTCCGATCTGCCATCAGAAAACATTTCTTAGGTTTTTTCCTCAAAACCCGCCGAGCCGAAGCTTTGTCCGAATTGCGCCGTAAAAATGGCCGATTGGTGGCAAGGAGAAGGAGTTTATGTTGATGAATTTCAAGCGGTATGTACTCATTATTCTGGTTTAATTTTTGTTGTTGTTATAAGTTTTTTAATTAATCTATGTACTAACCTCGTTGTTATTTTCTCGTAGGTTGGGGAGGACGTCGATATATACAACCAACGGTATTATCTCGAGCAAGGACCGTTGGATCCAACCGACTTGTACGACCAACCCAACCATCGGTCAAGGGATGTTTGGAACGCTCACCCGGTACATACAATTCTTCACCATTTGTCCTTCTTTTATTTTGTTAATGTGCCTAGTGTAATATAAAATAAATTTATGTTGATTTTTTTATCGTGTTGGTGGTTTTCAATAATTTAATCGAATACATAGCGCCACTTACTTCGACTCTTTATAAAGAGATGCACGTCTAAGGAAATGGGGTTTTAAGCGATTATCATATCCTCCCATTACCTGGGAAAATCGGGTATTAAGAGATCCTCGGATCCCCCCTTTTTCTGTCAAAAAGACTGCGTTTCTAAGAATATGTATACCTCTTCTAAGAGTCTAACGAGTGTTGCTTTGTATTCGATTAAATTATTTAAAACAACCAATACGATTAAATTATTTACCAAACAACCAATACGATTTATTTTATGTGCACAAAAAGAATTTTATTAATTTCAAACATTTGAATATGTATGTTTCTATTTAAATTATTATTCATTAACAATGTTATTTATGTTAATTAATTTAGTATGTTTGTTTTACGATAATATGTATGTACCTCTTTAAATTATTATTCATTGTCAATGTTATTATGTTAATTAATTTAGGACGTTTGTTTTATGATAATATGATAAAATGAAATGTCTTTTTATGATAATAAAATTTTTCTTGATGTCGCATAATTTAATTTAATTAATTTAGTTATAAGAAAAAAACCCTTACTAATATATAATAATTAACGTTTTAAATTTTTGCTAGGAGGCACAAACAATAATCCGCTACAGAGGTACCACCAATGTGCTCCCATTCCACCCAGCTATCTTGCCCTTTCTCAAAAGGGCACGGTTAGACTCGATTAGGCATTTTAACGGCATCAAAGTCGATCGCCAACTCATCACCGCATTAGCCGAGAGATGGAGAAAGGAGACCCATTGTTTCAACTTTAGAGAAGGAGAGGCCACCATCACGCTAAAGGATGTCGACATCCTAACCCATCTGCCCATCGACGGTAAAGCAGTGTGCATGAGTGATCATCCCCCCGAGGAACCTGACGGTATGCCCGGTTGGGTTCATTCATCCACAGTCATTTGGGAGTGAAAGTACCAGTGAAGGGTTGCGTTGATGCGACCGATCGCATGCCACCAATGAGGAAACACCAAGTCTCAATTACAAGGTTGACGAAGTATTTTAGAGATCATTACGACAGTCATCCCCTAACCGAGGAAAGTCCGGAGGATGAGAAGGAGAGATATGCTCGTGTCTATCTCATAGGCATGATCGGAGGAGTGTTCTTCTCCAAGAAATCAAGCAATCTCCTTAGTTGTGGATGGCTTAGGATCATCTTCAGTAGTTGGGAGGAGATGGGGGAGTATAGTTGGGCATCCGCTTGCCTAGCTATGATCTACAACAACTTGTGCAATGCGTCTCTAAAAGCTGTGAGGGAGGTCAACGACGCAATCTTCATCGTCCAATTTTGGGCTTGGGAGCATATGCCATGGCTTGCACCGGCCCAACGTCCAGACAGGGATTGGCCAATCGATCATCCCCTAAAGAGGTGAAGCTTATGGAGCAAGGTAAACTTCTCATACACCATCATGTAGTCATAACACATTTTCCCTTGTGTTTTATCTTATTGTAGTTTCATTATTGTCTTATTAATAAGGTGGCTCGGACACACCACATGCGACAACCTTGTCCAACACAAGTTGGACGAGTATCGGAGGAGGTTTGAGCGACTTTGGGAAGGAGAGGTAACTTCTATACTGCGATCCATTTATATTTTTTTTCATGGGACTACATGTATTTTTCTAATTAATTATTCTTACGCTACTCATTTCTTTCTTGTACCATCCACAGTAATCACAGGGATACAAAAGCCAAAACCATCAATAGATGGCTTGAATGCCCAAAACAGTCGGCGAAAATGACGTTCGTTACCTGGCTCTGGGGGTTGTATCTCTTCATCTTGGTATCGAGGGGAGAACACAGTGCCAGGGTTAGACGCCTCCAATGCCAGTATTAACCTGGGAAGGAATGCATATGATTCTTCCCAATCAACAAAGACGGCGGCCAGAGCTTTCTGCTTTCCATGCCACGCCTTCTTATAGTTAATCATATAACCATAACGACTTGCAATGTTAGCGATTATGACTTTCACCTTTAGATCCGGTTCGGCCTCAATCAGATGCCTGATAGCCGCAGCAACCACCCTGGATTTCAACTGTCGATGGCCTTGGGAAGTTATGGATGACACACATGTGTGTGTGTTCACCGCACGGGATATGACCCAGTGGCCGTGTCTCTTGCTGTTGATGGCCCGAATCCTAACATTGCACCCCTCGTGATGATTACGGCATCTGACTATGAGCCTTTTGGTGTTGGAATGAGTTGTGTGTCATTCAAAATGCCGAGTCATTGATTCAGTCTCAATGGCGTGCCGCACATCCTTCTTCGAGCCAAATTGTTGGCCCTTCGTAAACCCAGTGAGTGGGCCCCATATTGGGACCTCTGGCGGCTCCATGTCGCTGTCGACCATCCAATTGCCGTCTGGAATGTGATTGTAGTAGGGGACTGGTACACGGTCAGGAGCCAGATCATGATCATTATCTGAATGTGACTCTGGTCCTGAATCATCAGCACCTTCAAGAGGGTCGGAGCTGTCTGCACTGACGTTGTTCTCTCCTTCTTCATCGGAGGGTTTGCTGACTGGTGCTGGTATGGCAGCTTCCATCTGATCCAGCTCATGAAAGGCACCTTCATCAGCTCCATAATGGAAGTTGTGAAAACTACCGCTGCCTGATTGGAAGTTGTACTGGGCTTGGTTGGGGAGGTCCGGTTGAACTTCTTCTTCATATGACGAGAAAGATTGATGATGGCCATCACCTTGCTCTTGGTACTGAAAATAGGAATGAGGATCATGGTAACTTTGGTAGGGATGATCGCCATATAATTCACCTCCATCATGGATACCAGATGTTTGACCGTGTCCAGAATGACCTCCAACGCCAACGACTAGCTCGGTGTAACCTAACATCTCGGTTTTGGCCAATTTGTTGGACCTCAAGAATTCAAGCATGGAATCTACTTCATCTTGAGTGGTTATGGTATATTCCTCATGCCACAATGACCCACTTTCTCTGTTTGGATATCGGTACACCATACGATCTACTCTTCTCGTGTCATCCATGCAAGTAACGTTAGTGCATATTTGATGGAGATCTTCAAGCTTCGGTCTGGTACCGACCTTTATTTTCTGAAAATTGCCACCGACTTAGGTGGCCCCCTTTCTGGTAGGGATGACAACAAAACCCGAACCCACGGGTACCCACCCGACCCAACCCGGTCAACGCGGGTAAAATCCGTGTTGACGGGTTTTGGGCCGGGTTTGGGTTTAAACCTGTTCACTATTCAACGGGTTGGGTTGGGTTTGGGTTTAGATAAACCCGGCCCGTGGATACCCGCCCACCCATATAATTAATTTTTTCGGTATATTTAATATTTTAAACAACTAATATTATTTATGTTTGTGGAGACATGTTTAATTTTTTCTTTTTAATTGTGTAGAATGAAGTTGATGTTATGAAGTGGAGAGTAAAGAAACTTAATTGAAAGGAAGAAGCTTTCAATTAAACATGTTATTTATGGAAAATTTGTGATTTGCTTCAATTTTTTTGAGTTTTCTAGATTGGTGTTGAACAATTTGTATAGTTAATTTGTGATTGCTTGAATTTTCTAGAATGGTGTTTAATATATGGATAATTTGTATTGAGAGATTGATATTTGACTTTAATTTTGATAAAAACTTGTAATTGTAAATTTTTTACGACAAAACCCGTGGGTACCCATGAACCCGCGGGTACCCAACGGGTTGGGTTGGGTTTGAGTTTTTCAAACCCGGTGGGTTTTACCCCGGGTTTTTTTCAAAGATAAACCTATGGGTTTGGGTTTGGGTTTGGCAAAACCCGACCCAACCCGACCCATTGCCATCCCTACTTTCCGGTCTCTTCCGTGTAACCATTCCACCGTAAGCCAAGCGTGAACTGGCGGAATGCCATCTGCACACAAAAAAAACCGTAGTTCAGTTAATATCATAAAAATCACAAATAACAAATAACAAAAATAAGTAACACAAAATAAACTTACGAGTTAATGTTAATGGCAAAAAAACTAAAGAAATATAGAGATACAACAGAAAAATGAAAAGAGAGAAGGAGAGGTGTGAAGAGTAGAGGTTTTCCGGACAGTCTTATATAGGCAAAAAAAATGAGGAAAATCGCACCTCTAAGGTACGGTTTTGGTCTGCATGCAGCCCTACGTCTATAATTCTGCATGGGTGATTGTCGGGTGTCAGAAAATAATTGACACACAGACAAGTGCGGTCTGTGTGTCTAAACCGCACCTTGCAAGTGCGGTTTGGTTTTGGAGGAATAAAACGCCACTTTAAGGTGCGGTTTGCCTAGGTCAGGCCAAAACCGCACCTCGGCCATGCGTTTTGTGTAGGCCAGACGTCAAAACGCATGGTCAAAATGCAGTTTAGCCCCAGGAAAATGGACCGCACCCTAAAGGTGCGGCTTATTTATAAAACGCATCTGGACGATGCAGTTCATATATAAAACGCACCACAAGGGTGCGGTCCATAAAAAAAGGTGCTAGTTTTGTAAATAGTTTTGGAAGGGTGCTAGTTTTGTAATTTTTTTTAAAGGTTCTATTTCTGGAAAAAACTCGACAGGTGACGATCATTGTCCGTTCTGCAACCTTCCTGAAACACAGGTGCATCTGTTCGGGGAGTGCAAGTGGACGAGTAGAATTTGGAGGCAAACAAGTTTGGCGTAACTATTTGAAAGCCGTAACAATGATAGTTGTGTGGACTGGTATCCGCAAGCGCGCTGGGCTAGCGGTCTCAAGTGATCCTGAGAAATGACTTGTGCTTATGTGGTTCATTTGGAAGGAACTTTACACACAAGTTCATAATTGACAGAAGATGGAGGAGAATCAGATGGCGGTGAGAGCTGCATCTTTCTTAAAAGGATTACCAAGATCATCAGGACTACGAGAACAACATGGAAGCAACAACCCATGCAACGATGTGGAGTCGCCCACCTGCACAGACGACGAAGTCGATGCGGGCATGGTGACGGATAAAGGGATCTGTCTCATTCTGGTTGCTTTGTGACGACTTAGGGAGGTTCATTTGTGCGGCGCCCAAGAAATTTGGTAACTGGTTAAATCGTTATCGCCTAAGAGATTACCACCCCTAACTGCATCTAGGTGCATTTATGGTATGGGATGATAACATATTAGGAAGGGGTTGGTTTTTAAATATACAATCTGATGATTAATCTTTTAAAATCATAACTATCCATGAAACCAAAAGTCTATGGAGATGTAATTCATATATATTCATATATAAAAGCCTAACATTAGAGTTATTATTCATTAGTGACTCTCACACTCCTCCAAGTGCAAGTCGGGAAGCTGTAAGCCCTTCTTTTGGTTACCGAGTATACCATTACGTATAATCATCGACTGTATTGTTAATCACGGTTACCAATTTGGTAACTGGTTAAACCGTTATTGCCTAAGTGATTACCACCCCTAACTGCATCTAGGTGCATTTATGGTATGGGATGATAACATATTCCGAAAGGGTTGGTTTTTGAATAGACAATCATCAAGTTAATCTTTTTAAATCATAACTATCCATGAAACCAAAAGTCCATGGAGATGTAAAATGAAATATCAAAGCCTACTAGCGTGTGATTCGTGGAAAAGTCATCCGCATCATCTCTAAATGATCCATGTAAAGTTCCAAGTGAAATTTTAGAAAATCGATGTTACTTTCAAATTTTCTTAATATTGTTTATAAAAGTGATAGGAAATGAGCAAGATATTTGTTTACGAGATGATTATAATATTTGAGGGATATGGATGATCGAATTATTGAAATTAGCGAATTTAAATCATAATTGTAGTACATATTCAAATGAATTTGATGAGAATACTTAAAATACCAAACCCACGATCAACATTATCACACTCTTAGTTAGAATTTCTCCTACTAAATGGGGTTTAGTTGGACCACTATGAATATATGATGGGCTATTTTGCCTAGAGGTATATGGGTTGTTTGGGTCGATTTTTAACCATTTTTAAACGCCCAACCAATGAGTCTTGAGTTGAATGATGGTGAACCCAAAACCACCCATAAATTTCAAGATCCTACAGGTTTTTTTACTTACGATTTGTGTTGGGTTGGATGAAAATCTAATCCATTGCATGAGAACAAGATTTATACTTCTAATAATATAATATGACAAAAATACATATATGACACTATATGAAAATGTAAGTTATTGTAGTAACATACTGCATTCATACTAGGAAAAGAAAAGAATTAAAAATATTTTACTTATTAATACGTTGTAGTAAACTAAAAAATTAAACATAAAGAGAGGATGCGAAAATAAGTATATATATAAATGTATAAGGAAACACTTTGATAAATAATTGACTTTTATTTATTTACTCTAGTTAAAATAAGTTGGCGGAAAGGCTACTTGAAAGCTCCGTAAACATTTGGCGAGTTCTAGCGCGGCAGCGAATGATGACATTTTTGTGGCTCGCTACACATCAGAGGCTTATTACAAATGTCGAACGCAAGAGGAGACATCTTACGACGGAGGATGGCTGCAAGACCTGTGGAGACGGACCTGAGACAACTCTCCACGTGCTTCGAGAGTGTCCCTACGCTTGTGCGGCATGGGCAGAGTTGCTTTGTGACGAGTCGGATAGCGACTTTTTTGAGCTAGACCTTGGGAGATAGATGATGCATTACACAACAGAGCGAGGTTACAGCATTGACAACACTCTCTTTACGACTATGTGTTGGCTGCTGTGGAAGAACCAGAATGAATTCTGCTTCCAAGGTGAGTTAAAGTCATATGCACAGTTCCATGCCAGTGCTGCTACTCTGCGACAACAAATCCATCAAGCATTTGAGAAGGAGACACATATGTTTGGAGCCGGGGGACTTCGACAACTAAGACTTATCAACTGACAACCACCACCGCCAGGATGGACATGTCTGAATACTGATGGATCAGTGGTCCACTCTCCTTCGAGTACAACAGCAGGAGGAGTCATGCAGGGAGACGACGACCGCCTCATTACTGCTTTTGCTGCGAACCTTGGGTGAGGTTCTATTACGAGTGTAGAACCGGCATGGATCGTGCGTGGACTGAAACTCGCTTGGGAGGCAGGAGTTAGGAAGGTAATTCTACAGACAGATTCTGCTACGGCTAAGTCCCTTATTGAGATGGCCACACCTCACCACATCCATTACACGAGCGTCGCCGAGATACGACGTTGGTTAGCTCAGGACTGGCAAGTCCTCATTACTCATATTTACAGGGAAGCGAACGTTGTTGCAGACTACCTCGCTAATCTGGGTCACTCTCTTCCTATTGGTTTGCATAATATTGTGAATCCGGATAGTGTTTTGGCTTACTGGTTGTACCATGACATTATTGGGGTTCAGACACCCCGTTCATTTATTCTATAAAGGTTGGGGCGTCCTTTAAGCGCTCCGCCTCGTAAAAAAAAAAGCTCCGTAAACAATATATTAAGAAATATATAAGATTTTGATGAATAATATAGTATCACAGATCCGTTTGGATATTATCAAATTGTAACAATCCGAACCCAGTAAAATTATTGAATGGCTAAACGTCGCCCTAACTTTACTATTTTCGCCCTAAACTAAAACATACAATTACTAAGTTATCCTTCATTAACAAAAGAAAACAAACAAAACAAATAGCATCCTATTCGAAATGCTTCTTCATCTTGGTGAAACAACTCTCGCTGGTACTCTAAACGATCGTCGCCGCCGATACACTCCTAACGAGTTCGAGGCTCTGGAACTACTCATGAGTGCTGATTCAGGGGAGAAAGGATTCCCAATATCACAAGGGTTCCTTCTCAAAATTGGAATAGGAAACGTGGTTCACAATGGTTCAAACTGAAATCAAATTGAATGCAAACTGACAATTTATTCATTCGACTGAGATCGAGCTTTATACATGAGCTTCTCAACTGAAGCCTTTGGAATCGGCTCTGCTAAACAGCTCTAACCTCTCAATCCCTGAGAATAAGCAACCTAACAAACTGACTCTGCAACCAACGACTATCCCTAACGGCTAGTTTAGCCAAACTGGCTTTTATAGACTCAAACAGAAAAACAAGGACTAAAACAGAAAAAGACCAAACGACACAGTCTCAGTGTTTGAGACTTAACTAATTAAAACGACACAGTGCAGCCGCTTTTCCTTCTCCAGAAAGGATTCGGATTAGCAGAGCTTCAGCAGCCTTCACCAACAGCCTCCCCTGATCTGGAACTTCATCGATCAATATCTTCAACAGCCTCCCCTGAACTGAAGCATCTTCAACCAGCTTCAGTTCATCAATCTTCAATCCCCAATTCTGCTCCATTAACCATTCCCAATCTGCTGCGCAACAACTGAAATGTGTTAAGCTTCAATGGCTTGGTCATGATGTCTGCTACTTGTTCCTCAGTCCCACAATGCTCCAATTCAATTGTTCCATTCCTGGCCAGCTCTCTTAGGAAGTGAAAGCGAACATCTATGTGTTTGCTTCGACCATGCATTACAGGATTCTTTGAAAGCTTGATGGCTGAACTGTTATCACACATAATCCTGGTTGTTCCTTCCACACAATCCAGCCATCCCATTTGAGCCACAATTCTTCTAAGTCACACGCACTGAGCTGCACAGAAAGATGCAGCCACAAATTCTGCTTCTGTTGTAGAGAGAGTAACCACTGGTTGTTTCTTCGAGCTCCATGAAATTGCTCCTCCTGCCAAAAAGAAAGTATACCCACTGGTACTTCTTCTATCATCCAAATCACCAGCATAGTCACTGTCAGTGTAACCAAGTAGACAGTCTCCTTCTTCTTGTCTTTTGTACAGAATTCCATACTTCTGTGTTCCTTTTAGATACCTGAGTATCTTCTTTGCTGCCAGCATGTGTTGTTTTGTAGGTTTGTCCATGAACCTGCTCAATTTGCAAACTGCATACATAATGTCAGGCCTTGTTGCTGTTGCATAAAGTAGGCTTCCAATAAGCTGCTTATAGCTAGTTGCATTAACCTCGACACCATCACCAGCTTTTGAAAGTTTTGTTCCTGGAACCATAGGATTGTTGACATGGTTGCAATCTGCAAGATGAAACCTGTCTAGCAGCTCACTAATGTACTTCTGCTGAGAAATAAAGATTTCAGTGCCAGTTTGAGTTACCTCCACGCCCAAGAAAAACTTCAACTTTCCCAAATCTGACATTTCAAATTCAGCTTCCATAGATTCCTTGAATTCTTTTAGCATTGCAGGGCTAGTGCTGGCATAGATTAGGTCATCAACATACACACTGACCATCAGCACATCCCTTCCAGATTTCTTCACAAACAATGTCTGCTCAAACTCACATCTTTCAAAACCAGTGTTTAGAAAGTGAGTTTCAATCCTGCTAAACCAAGCTCGAGGGGCCTGTTTAAGGCCATACAAAGCCTTTTGCAACCTGTATACCTTACCCTCTTGCCCAGGAATCTCAAAACCCTGAGGTTGTTCAACATACACTTCTTCTGTGAGATTTCCCTGCAAGAAAGCACTCTTAACATCTAACTGATACACAGTCAGACCATGTTGTGCAGCAAGAGCCAAGAAAGTTCTGATGGTGTCCCATCGAGCTACTGGTGCAAAGACTTCATCATAATCCACTCCATACCTTTGAGCATAGCCCTTTGCAACTAACCTGGCCTTGAATTTGTCTATGGATCCATCTTCCTTCAACTTGGTCCTGTATACCCACTTGACTCCAATAGGAGTCACTCCTGCTGGTTTATCAACCAGAATCCACGTGTGATTTCTTCTTATGGCATCCATCTCTTGTTCCATGGCCTTTCTCCACCTTTCTTCAAGAACAGCTTCATCAAAGGAGGTTGGATCACTGCTGACAGCAACTAGAGCCCACCAATCAGTTTCAGCAAATGCCAGATTTGGCATTCCTTGACAGTCAAAACCATCAAATCGACTTGGAAACTTTCGATTTCTTGGTCCTAGCTCATTGCTAGGTGGAAGTCCCAGAGCATCAGTCACATTCTCTTCTTCTTCTTCTTCTGATTCAGTAGCAGCTGGTGTGACTGGTTCTGAGGCCTCAGACTGTGTTGGAACTGAGTTGCTCTCAGACTCCTCTTCAGTTTCTTCTTCTTCTGAGGTGGTTTCAGAAGGCTCAGCCTCCTCCTCATGTCCTCCTTGATCATCATCATCACCTTCTTCTGAGTCATACCAGGCTTCTTCTGCTCCTTCCCACACCAGTTTGATCGAGTCAGGCTCTGTGTCAGACTTCCCGATCCACCCTTCCTTTTCATTGAAGACCACATCTCGGCTGATAATAACCTTCTTAGTCTCAGGATTGAACAGCTTATAGGCTTTAGATTCCTTAGACAGGCCTAGGAAGTTGCACTTTACACTTTTATCATCCAGCTTCTTCCTTAAACTGTCATGAACATGAGCAAAGGCCACACAACCAAAGATTCTGAAATGATTCACTGAAGGTGGTTTTCCAGTCCATCTCTCTTGAGGTGTCTTGCCATCATTAGCTTTAGTTGGACTTCTATTAAGAATATGAGTAGCCCAATCTACAGCCTCAGGCCAGAAAGTTGGTGGAACTTTGGTGTCCTCCAGTGAACATCTGACCATATTTATGATGGTCCTGTTCTTCCTCTCAGCAACCCCATTTTGCTGAGGGGTGAGAGCAGCTGTTAGCTGCCTTCTGATTCCTGCCTCTTCACATATATCACGAAACTCATGCAGTAAGAACTCTCCCCCTCTATCAGTCCTAAGACATGCAATAGTTCTTCCAGTTTCATTTTCCACTTGTGCTTTGAAACGTTTAAAGCATGCTAAGGCTTCTGATTTTGCAGATAAGAAGTAAATCCATAGTTTTCTGCTGTAATCATCAGTAAGAGTCATGATATACCTCTTCCCTCCATTAGATGCAGGAGTGATAGGGCCACACAAGTCAGCATGTAGAAGTTGCAGTGGCTTGATGGCTCTCCATGCTCCTGTTTTTGGAAATTTCGTCCTGCATTGCTTGCCAATCATACAAGTTCCACAGACTCCAAGCTCTCCAGTTAACTTAGGAAGCCCTTCCACCAGCCTTTTCTTTTCCAACTCCAGCAAACCAGCCTTGCTGAGGTGACCAAACCGCCTGTGCCATAGGTTGAGTGTGTCATGTTGTTCAACATCAGTTTGTAGGCAGTGATTGGCTTCAGCATGATGGTTGGCTTGCAGTACAAACATCCTGTTGGACTTCATGGATGTTTGCAGCAGCAAACCATGTTTCTCGTGATAAATCTTGCAGCTTCCTTGCTTTATTGTGAAGGCAAGATTCTTTTCCTGCATTTGTCTCACACTCAGCAGGTTTGACTTTAGACTAGGCACATAGAACACATTTTGGAAGACCAAGGGCACCTTTTCCACAATCATCTTTACAGATCCCTTCCCCTGAACTTCTAGTCTGCTTCCATTTCCCAGCTTAACGTCACTCTTGAAGCTTGTGTCAAGCTTGATAAACCAGCTTTTGTCACCACACATGTGGTTACTGCACCCACTATCAAGGAACCACCAGTCACCATTCTTTCTCGAGCTTTCTCTACTGGATATCTTCTCTTCAGTGTAGGCCATCAGCAGAACATCATCTTTGATGTCAGTGGGTTCCCAGCTTGAGTAATGAGTCTGCCATTCAGGGCATTCTCGACTGTAATGTCCCATTTTATGGCACTTGTAGCATTCAATCTGGTCCTTATTCCAGCTCCTGCCTCGTCCTCTTCCTCCCCTGCCTTGATATCCAAATCTGCCTCCTCTTCCTCTTCCTCCATTATACACTTGCAGAGCCTGTTCTTCACCATAGGTGGACTTTGAGAATTTTTGCTCATGAACCAGCAGGGAGCTTTGCAAGGCATCCACAGACATCTCAACTATGTCCTTGGATTCTTCAATGGAGCACACTATGTAATTGAACTTCTCAGTGAGAGTTCTGAGTACCTTCTCAACAATCTTTGTGTCTGTCATATCTTCTCCACAATTCCTCATTGAATTAGCAATGACCATTACTCGACTGAAATAGTTTGTCACTGTCTCACCATCCTTCATCTGCAGCAGCTCAAAGTTTCTCCTGAGTCCTTGCAGATTTGCCTTCTGAACACGCTCGTTCCCTTGATAACGTGTCTTCATTGAGTCCCATAGTTGCTTGGAGGTTCCCTTCTGAGTGATGGTTTTGAGAATGCTCTTATCAATAGAACTGAACAGAAAGTTCTTAGCATTCAGATCCTTCAGACGAGTCACCTCCAGTGTCTTTCTCTGAGTTTCAGTCAACTCAGATTCCTCATCAGCTTCTTGAATTCCAGTTTCTACCACGATCCATAATTCCTTGGATCTGAGCAAGTTTTCCATCAACATGCTCCAATGATCATAGTCCCCATCAAACTTGGGAATCCCTACCTGAGCAAAACTGCTGTCACCACTCATCCTGCTCTTTTCAATTTCACTCACCAATAATCAAGATCCTCACTTTTCACTCGTGTTTCCCACAACCCAGGATCTTCTACTATTTCACACAGCTCTCACTTTCGATTGAAACTCTCTGGTTACAGTCTGCAAAAGCTCTGATACCACTATGAAATCAAATTGAATGCAAACTGACAATTTATTCATTCGACTGAGATCGAGCTTTATACATGAGCTTCTCAACTGAAGCCTTTGGAATCGGCTCTGCTAAACAGCTCTAACCTCTCAATCCCTGAGAATAAGCAACCTAACAAACTGACTCTGCAACCAACGACTATCCCTAACGGCTAGTTTAGCCAAACTGGCTTTTACAGACTCAAACAGAAAAACAAGGACTAAAACAGAAAAAGACAAAACGACACAGTCTCAGTGTTTGAGACTTAACTAATTAAAACGACACAGTGCAGCCGCTTTTCCTTCTCCAGAAAGGATTCGGATTAGCAGAGCTTCAGCAGCCTTCACCAACAGCCTCCCCTGATCTGGAACTTCATCGATCAATATCTTCAACACAAACATCTTCCCAAAGTCCAAAGTCCCATGGGACAAACACCAGCCGCCGAGTAGGTTGGATCTGCAGAAAGCATTCTTTCTTTTTACCAGAGGCAGAAAGCATTCTTACTCTCCTTTCAAGTTGCTTTGTCTTTCTATGAAAAATAATGAGAAATTAAGTGTAATAAATTATGTTGTCCACTTGACATTCGTCAATCGTCTTTTTTTTCACGGCAGTCGGAGGTGGATAGTGGTGGGGACGTCAACGGCAATGAGTATTGGCGCCGGCCGCCGGTAGACTTGCTTAACAGCGAAAGAAGGAAATTGAGTTAGAACGGGCGCTGCTCTCTCGCACTTCCCAATCTACGTTCAAGCACACCACTTCCAGCTGAATTTGAATTCAAAAGGGGTCGCAGGCGGCCGGCGCCAATAGGCTCTTTGACTGGAGCCAGGACCCTAAGCCTAAGGGCTGCACCACAAGTAGGACTTGATTCAATCAACTGTAGCGGTATCAATACTCCATCCCATGGCCCTTCCTTCTACGGCCGATCTAGGGTTGACTGGACCTAGCATAGCAGTTCGATAAGGTAGATCATAGAGAGGTAAGCTCCGTTTTAACGTGCAAAGCAAGCAGCCAATGCGAGAAAGGGGCTAGAGCAGTACTCGAGGGGAGGGAGCAGCTCATCCGTCAGGATGGGTCCTCTCCAACTCAGTCGAGTGACTTCGTTCCTCGAAAGCCTTTGGTACTTCGGTAGGGCCGGACGGCTTTGTTTGCCCCAGCTTGGCGAATCGCCGATTGAGGAGAAAGAGCCAGCCGTAGCCAAATTTTTTATTTTATTAGGGCGATTATAAAAAAAATAGAAGCACAATGGTTAGAAGGATAGAAAGGTAATTCTAGTTTTAAAAATTAGGGCGATTATAAAAAGTTAGGGCGATAATTAGCAACTCCCTGGGTTTGAATGGGTTGTAGATTTGGGTTTGAACGGGTGGATCGGTTTTCGGTTTGTCTTGTTGGCTCTATTTTTTGGAGTACTTAAGTAGTTACTGCTGGTCTAGAAGAGCGGAGGCGGTAGGGTTTTCGAAAGGAAGTTTGCACCTTTTTCTATTCTCCCAATCCGAACTCCGCCCCGACCCGATTCTCTCTATCTGAGCGAGCATATAATTTCTCTGCTACAACAACCCCCATATCCAAGTATACAAGAACCTTGCCAATCTAAGGACGCTCCAGCTCCCAGTCCCCAGCTGTAAGTGCTCTTCGCCACTTCTCTGCTTTTTACATTTTCATTTCTGGGTTTAGTTTAAAGTTTCGGTCTTTGAAGTTATTGTCCAACTGTGGCAGGTGGATTTGGATCCTCCTTTCCTTCTTTCTCGAAATTCTTTCGTTGGTTCTTTTCCCAGTTAGAAGCAGAGAGTAGGAGACTAAGTTGATAGCTGTTTGATTTTCGGAAGAGGGTTTAGTCAATTTGAGAGAGAGAGAGAGAGAGAGAGTCGAATGGGGAAATCTGGGGGGAAGAAGAAGAAGGGAAGCGGTGCCGGCAGCGGCGGCGTTTCGAATTCAAATCATGTCCCGCTTACTGATCATCATCGTAATCATGCTAACGCCAATTCAACAGTTACCGCCACGGGTAATGGTGTTGTGGGACACGGCAATGGTGGTGGTGGGATTGAACTGGACTCCTCAATTCTTTTGAAGAAAGCCCATGAGCTGAAAGAGGAAGGAAATAAGAGGTTCCAGAACAAAGATTATGTGGGTGCCTTAGAACAGTATGAGAGTGCTCTTCGCTTGACCCCCAAATCCCACCCTGAACGTGCTGTGTTTCACAGCAACAGGGCTGCTTGTTTGATGCAAATGAAGCCTATTGACTACGACTCAGTCATTGCAGAGTGCTCCATGGCCATCCAGGTCCAACCTCGCTTCATCAGGGCTCTTCTCAGAAGGGCCCGTGCTTTTGAGGCTGTTGGCAAGTTTGAAATGGCTATGCAGGATGTTCAGGTGTTGTTGGATGCAGACTCCAATCACCGAGATGCTTTAGAAATTGCTCGCAGGTTGAGGACTGAATTGGGGCAGCGACAGGAGGCTCAGCAGGACCTCCATAGCCGCCCATCCCCTGCTGCTCTTGGAGCTTCTGCAGTTCGTGGTGCCCCCATTGCAGGCCTGGGACCATGTTTGCCTGCTCGTCCCATGTCGAAGAAGGGACTAACAGCTCCAGTTGCACCATCTGTGTCACCAGGCAACAAATCTGAAAAGCAACAAGTGACAGCAGCAGCTGTGACTGAAAATGGTCAGGAGAGTAAAACGCAGCAGCAACCAAAACTTGTCTTGAACCCTTCAACTGGTTCCGCAAAAGTGACTGCTGATTCAGGTAAGGATTCCCGTGCACAGCAACCGTCATTATCTTCCTCATCAAGATCAATGCTTTCACGTGCACAGGGATCAGAGGTCGCAGTTAGGTGGAGGCCGGTGAAACTTGTCTATGACCATGACATAAGGCTTGTGCAGATGCCTGTCAATTGTTCCTTCAAGGCATTAAGGGAGATTGTAAGCAACCGTTTGCCATTCTCAAAGTCAGTTCTGATCAAGTACAAAGATAACGATGGGGACTTAATTACTGTCACGTCGACATCTGAGCTCAAGTCAGCAGAATCAGCTGCAGACAGTCTTCTGACCAAGAATGGTGATCCAGAGATGGTGCATTCCGTTGGGATGTTGAGGTTGCATATCGTTGAAGTTTCACCTGAGCAAGAGCCATCTTTACCAGAAGAGGAGGAGAAGCTTGTTGAGAGCGAAGGTAATAAGGGGGATGAAATCATAACTCACTCATCACTCAGCGAAGAATCTGTATTGGAGGCACCTGATAGTGAAATGGATAATAACAATGAGAAAGAAGCTCCAAAGGAGAAAGCAGGAATTGCAGAGGATCCAGAGAGCAGCAAGGAAATAGAAATGGATGACTGGCTGTTTGACTTTGCTCAGCTCTTCCGCACTCACGTTGGCATTGACCCTGATGCACATGTTGATTTGCATGAATTTGGGATGGAGCTATGCACAGAGGCTCTCGAGGAGACGGTGACAAGTGAGGAAGCTCAATCTCTGTTTGACAAAGCTGCCCAAAAGTTCCAGGAGGTGGCTGCCTTGGCATTCTTCAACTGGGGCAATGTCCACATGTGTGCTGCTAGGAAACGGATTCCCTTGGATGAGTCTTCTGCTGGAGAAGACGTGGTGGCTACTCAGCTTCAGACGGCTTATGACTGGGTGAAGGAGAAATATTGTTCAGCAAGGCAGAAATATGAGGAAGCATTGGTGATCAAGCCAGACTTTTATGAAGGTCTGCTTGCCCTGGGGCAACAACAGTTTGAAATGGCTAAGCTCCACTGGTCTTTTGCACTTGCCAAGAAAATGGATCTCTCTGGCTGGGACTCGATGGAGACACTTGAGCTGTTCGATAGTGCAGAGCAGAAGATGAAAGCAGCCACTGAAATGTGGGAAAAGATGGAGGAACAGAGAGCGAAGGAGCTAAAGGATCCAACTTCAAGCAAGAAAGAGGAATGGTTGAGAAAGAAAAAGAAACACGGAAGCAACACCGCTGAAGGTGAGGCTGTTGTGGTGAATGGTGGCGGTGGTCATGGTGAGCTGACACCAGAAGAAGCAGCTGAGCAAGCCGCAGTGATGAGATCACAGATACATCTCTTCTGGGGCAACATGCTTTTCGAGCGGTCTCAAGTTGAATGCAAGCTAGGGACCGGTGATTGGAGGAAAAACCTGGATGCAGCAGTGGAGCGATTCAGGCTGGCTGGTGCTTCAGAAGCTGACATTGCAATGGTTTTGAAGAATCACTACTCAAATGAAGGTCCAAAGGAGGGGGAAGAGAAGAAGGCGGAGAACCCCAATGGTTTCATTACGGCCGCCAAAGTGGAGGTTGCGAATGAAGATGTGAAAGAATGATGATGATGATAATTGTGTTGCAGATGGGAAGTGTGGCGTCAATCCAGATCAGTGATGTGTGAGTTCGGAGAGGGAAAGGGGATTTGTTTTCTTCTAGGTAGAGGGAGAGGGGAAGGTCGAGTTTTGCGGGACATGAATCTTGGAATTTTGGGAGGATTTGTTATATATATTAGTAGGGACATTTGTGTGGGATCACCCTTCATCTTAAGAATGTGCTCTAAGGCTAACACACATGCTGCTAGTTGTTCACGAAAAATGATTAGACAAGTTCGTTTGTTTCAACAACTCTTGTTGGTTTTAAGCTAGTGATAATGGCCTGTTAAAGTTTTGCAGCGTTCTTTCCGCAACAAACCAATACACCAGTCCAGTACCAGACTGCTCCAGCCTCCAGCTACCCGACCTGTTTCAACATCCGATTTTTTTTTTTCCATAGATATTCTCAAAAGGGAAACAACAGGATCCAAAACAAGCTATCTTATCGTTGGTCGACCAACTACCGACCAACGATAAGATAGTTTGTTTTGCCACGATATGGGCAGCTCTTTGATACCTTTTTGGCATGGGTCTAATCCCTAACCGAACTTTAACCTTTGCAGGGAGAAAGTCAAGGATCGAGCCCCTTGAAACTGAAGCAGTTCAACGAACATACAACTGTGAGAACCGAGCCCTGACTGAAAGACGACCGCCATGCATCACATCCTTGAGAGTATCAAACTCTGATACAGAGAGCACGCCCAACTACCACTAGAAATCACCCCATCAAATACACAAGCAGCACGAAGCACCAAACGACGCCCCAACTAGACCTGACCAAGTTGAAGTTGCAGTCAAAAGAACTCCATCCTTGGTAGCCAGCGCTGAAATGCCACCTGCAAAAAAGCAAATAAACTTGTCCCTAGTCGGGCAGACCAAACAACCAAATAGATAAACATAGCAAAGAGCACCTTAAAAATCATAATCAAGTCGTGACACTTAAGCAAGTGAAAAATGACATTAGTAAAAAGTAAAAGTGGCCAACGGCAGGAGCAAAACCACAACCTCCAATTCGATGCACTTACTTTTTTGTGCATTCAATGCACTCGCTTCGTAATTGGCATTCCGAGCATGCGATTCATGTCAAAACGGTATCGATAATCAATTGCGATACGATGAACAAGAAACACATGAATTTAAAAAAACTCATTTAAGATTTACTTCAATTTGAAGGGTTAAGGATTTAGCAATGTAGGGTTAGGGTTTCTAATTTGGGGTTTTGGGTTTGTGTTCAAAATTGAAGGTTTAGGGTATAGGGTAATAGGTTGATTAGTTGTGATCATATGTTATATCATCATATCAAACTAATGCTACCAATTAAAATCCAAAATTCGATGTCTTAAGGTTACTTTTTGAATTGGGTGCATTGTATGCACCCATTTTTTTGTGGATAAACCGAAGTAGTTAATCGCTAACCGACTAATCGGTTAGTGGTTAACCGATAACCGCCTACTAGCATAACCACATAATTTTTGTCTTTGACTAAGGGAAAAAGTCTCAAGGTTCAAAACAAACCAAAGTGGCAATTTCATACATCCCTATTTCCACTTATTGCAAACAACCCTCCACCCAAAGTCTTAAATGTGTTTAAGAGTCATAACCCAAAAGCCATTCTCTGTGACTCCCCTTTGTAATCGACAAAGCAAACATCGCACCCTAGTAGTCTTTGTTTCTTAGATGTTTGTGAATGATGATGATCTTGTGTTTCTTGTCTTTGATGTCTCGATAGTTATTATTCACTAGTGAATGAAGACGTTTGATTCTTTTTAATTTTATATAATGAAATTTGAATTTTGATTATGAACCGCGGTTCAAAAAAGTACGCTTAACCTTACGCTTAGGCACTACTAGGTGCAAGGCAATGACAAAACACCTCGTGTAGGGGTTTCGCGCCTAGTTAGATACTGGAACACGTCAATGGAGTAAGGCGACATCTAATTTTCTCCTAAACATAACTAGATGGAACTAGGAAGTCAATATTAAAGGAGGAAGTTAATGTCATACGAAATTAATTTTCTATATCAATATTTTTCAATAGATTAAGAACTTTCTGAGCTATTGAGCTATGATGTCGTGAGCTATGTTCTTGTCATTAAGTGTTGAGTAAGTTATTAATCATTCTAACTAAAGTGAGTAAGTGTTGCAGATTATTATTTCATTCATTATGCAATATGAATTTCTATTTTTCTTCCAACGCCTAGGCGAGCTAGGCGCTAGGCAAAGCCTAAACGCCCGCCTTACGCCTAGCGCTTTCTTGAACCTTGTTATGAATTCACGATGGATGTTTTATTGATGTTATTTCTTATTGATAGTATTCTCGGTTAATAATGTAGAAGTGTAATTAAATTGTTTGACAAGTAGTTAGGATTAACTGACACTTTTTAAACTTAATTGGATGATGATTTGTGAATTGCAAGTGGTTATTGCTTCACTTTATGATATTTTGTGAAAGAAAATAGAAGTTATTTGTTTGATTAGGTATATTCGTATTTATTGGAACGTATGTTAGTGATTATTGGTTAATCGTCAAACTAACCGCTAAACGAACCGATAAGAGCGGTTAACTGATAAGACTTATCGGTTCGGTTATCGGTATGAGTTTTTTGCTTATTGGTTATCGTATGAGTTTTTTTATACTATCGTCCAATGATACCGAAAGTTAGATAGTGCAATGGTTTGTTTGGTTGGTTGGGTGGATGACATATGATCATCGTCCCTTGTCGCAGCAGATCCTCGTGGAGGCCTTCGTCCTCGCATGATCTGTGTCGCCACTTGTCGGTTTTGGCGAGGTCCTTACAGAGTCCAGATCAAGTGACTAAGGAGGAGGTTCTTAGCCACTTGACCAAGCCCCTCCTCGCCTTTATATATACATACACTAATTTAACGGTTAAAAAGTGGGATTGATTTTTAATTAGTGATAGGGGTACTTTTGGTATTATTAAAAAGTGATTTTATTTCTAATTTTATTTAATTTATTTTTCTCTCATTTGTCCTCTTTTACCCGCTCTTTTTTTACCTTGTATATACAAACACGATGATAAAACTATATAAACTATACAAAACCAGACATACAAACAATACAAAACTTACAAACTATACAAACTAGACCGACAAACAATACAAAATGGAAACAAGCTGACCGACTTTGGTGGCGCTGTTATATGTATAAAGGAGTTTTGTCCAAAGTCAACATGACTGTTTTGTAGACATTACAAACATGGACAAAAATGACAAACCATTCATAATGGATTTACAAACCATACATTAAGAAAAAACAACCAGCTTGACTTTGGAGGCTCGGTTCCTATATAGAGGTTTTCGTTCCAAAGTCAACCAGGTTGTTTTTAGTCATATAAATATTACTAACATGGTAGACAAAAATAAAAACTTACAAACATGGTAGACAAAAATGCAAACATAAAAACATTCTAAAAGAACAAATATTACAAAGTCGTTGGAGTGAGGGAAAAATTCCAGCGAGCCCACTTTATTTTTTTTAATTGATAAACCCTAAATTGGTGATATTTATCCTTCATAATGAAGTTTATTTCGTATCAATTCATGTGCATAATCGTTTGAATAGCGTCGATTGCATCCTTATTTCCTTCCTATTTGATTATGATGTGATAAATGTGGAGATGCGGTCGTTAAACAAGCATTGGTTGGGAGGCGACCCAACGTCGGTTCATATTTCTTTTCCTTATTTTCTCTTTCTGTTTAAGTGTTTGAGGCAAATGGGTGAGTTTTGAATGATCATCGTGCCATGGTTTATGTTTGACTATTTGAATGCGTCGTGTTTGAGTTAGATGCACGGTTGATACGATTGAGTATTGAGAACTGTGGGTTTGCCCTGTTTTTGGTACATATCACGGTTTTAGTAAAATTATTACGGTCAGCCGACCATGATAATTTTTCCCAGACCGTGATGTCGCCAGGCATTTCTCATGATTTGCAAACATTACGGTCAACTTGAGATTATCACGGCCAGTAGCCCGTGATATAAAACCTCTTGTGATGTCGGCACAAAACTCACCATTTTCGGCCTAGATCACGATCAACGAGTTATTACCACTGTTAGCTGACCGTGAAAATAAGACTCCGTATTTGATCTCGAACCTCGGGCTATATAAATAGTCTGTGATCCCTCCCTCTTCAAGTGAACATTAACCGACGGAATCCTTTGAAATGCACAATGGAAAACGTTGCCCCTGACGGATTTTCAACGAGTCGATCTACTTCCGGCCTTCCAAATTAGAAACTAAGCACATACCCAATCTTCCCTAGCCTAGGCGAACCTTCGCCGAGCTTGTGGTAAGATTTGGGGTCGTTTTTCAGTCCGACGATCTTTTTCGGCGAGGCTTTGACGAGTTTCAGGCAAAGCTCAAGCGACCTTGGTCGATCACTTTTGCGGCATTTTTTACACCCTTGCCATTTCTCTATCTTCCTCTTCGATCCTACTTGAGTCTCCAGATGTGTTTTCATCTTTTACTTGGTCAATTTTGGAAAATCAGAGCTAGAGTTCTTCGGTTGGGAGATTTGTGAACTTTTGCTTCAATGATGATATTGGGAGAGGGGTTTGTTGAACTATTTTGATTGAATAATGCTTGAAGTGATTGTTGAGATAATTGAGCCTTTGTGGGCATGATTTGGTGTTTGAATTGAAAAATGCCCACTAAGAGCATTCTTTGAATGAATGTCTTGATTCACTTTTGTGCATCATGGTTTGTGGTCATTAAGGCATGATCTAGGCTTGCAATTGCAACCTTTATGATCTATGAAACACATATTATCATGCCTCAGTGTGCCTTATGGATGTTTGAGGTTAAATGATGGCCCTTTGACCTTGTGAAAATCCTATAGAGGCATGTTGAATATGTTGGAACTTAAGTGCGGGGGAGTTTATTTTCTCCCCGTAGAGCTTTGTATGATAAATGTTTTCATGTGTGGTGCATGTTTGCTTGGAATTT